ACTGTCGTGGCTCTTTATTACTTAGAATGGGCTGAAAATCAAAAAGCTTCGTCATATACAATATTTTGTGGCTGTAAGCAACCTTTCTAAAATTTTATGGCATTTTTAATTTGAAGCTCAAAAGTATTTTGTTCTCACTGATGCTTGCCTAAAATTCTAACCTGCTTAAAATGTACCCTACAATTTTTGTCCTCTTCTGCATAGCTGATGTGTCTTATCTATTTTTCCAAGTTTTTGTAAAGAGTGTGTTGTGATTAAAATGAGTTTGACTCTTCTGGTTTTCATTTCAACTTGGTATCTTAATAATTTCAACAGAGCCGTCTAATTTTCTCTATCATTTAGCGGCTTGTTCTGCATAAAACACGAAGGGTTAACTAAAGCCAATTTTCTTGGTGAGTTATGAGTTGATAACATTTTGGTTTCTCAAGCCGAGTTTCATGCTTAGGTGTACATTCAGAGATTGCTTCTTCTTGGCCTCATCAATACTTTCTACTCATATTGGAAGATTATCTGTGTTTGCTTGGAGCTTGTTGATGTGGACAATGGGCTGTCATTTGGGTTGTGTCTTTCTTAAGCACTATCCACTTCTTTTTCATAATTGCTAGTGTCATATCTCTGACAGGATGAGAAGTACTGGCCTCTCATGCCGCCATTGCCATCATATGGCTGTGGGAGGGAACAACCTGGACCTAGATATGGAAGTTTAATTCATGGTCAAAATCTTAAAGATGTTGTCATTACAGGTTAGCATCTTGGCCCTGGTGAACTGGTTGGACATTTAAGAGTTCTGATACTTCCCCTGTTCCTTATGCCCCCCAAAAAAAATGTAAAAGAAGAATGAGTGTGTGTGTGTGTGTAGATAGGTGCTGAGGCATATAAGAAGCACAAGTTTTGAAAGAATCACATTTGAAAGAACAAAAGTTGTATTTTTTTAATGCATAAAAGATTTGAGATTATTTTCTTCAATCGCAAATTTATGCATTTAGCATATACTTCATGTGCAACAATAATCTTAGTGATATGTACATCTAGTCTAATGGACTCTGAATAGCTTGTTTGCAATCTTATACTTGTTTCCTCTGCTGAGGCTAAAAACCTTATCACTGATGATCATGTCAAATGATCTGAAAGCCACTAATGTGCTGTTGTGACTTCAGGACATAATGGTACAATTAACGGACAAGGTCAAACATGGTGGAGGAAGTATCGACAAAAGGTTCTTAACCACACCAGAGGGCCACTTCTGCAGATTATGTGGTCTAGTGACATTTTGATCTCTAACATAACATTACGTGATTCTCCCTTTTGGACATTCCATCCATTTGACTGCAAGAATGTGACAGTTAGGAATGTGACAATCTTGGCACCTGTCTTTGAAGCTCCAAATACTGATGGAATAGATCCTGGTAAGTCTGTTCTATGTCAGAACACTGTTTAGCTTTTCTGCTCCACCAAATACTGTTGTTCTTGAGCTTTGAACAATCAAAATAATTTGGTGTAATGTCAACATATCAGCAATGCCTTGTTATTGTAACTTAATCTGGATATTTCCTCAAGTTTTCTGGAACTTGGAGACGTGTCATAAATCCATTGTAGAGTTGGATGAAAAATATCTAATCTTGGAGGGATTGTCACAATACATGGTTTTGTCTTATTTCTAAGAGCCTAAAGTAATGGCAATACCTCGATTGTCATCATTGAAGAATTGAAGCCATGGAGCTTTTACTTCACAACCATTCATTTTTCCCACTGTTTAGAAAAGACAATCGCCTAACTTATTTTGTTCAACAAACAGATTCATGCGAGGACATGGTAATTGAGGACTGTTACATTAGTGTAGGAGATGACGCTATTGCAATAAAGAGCGGATGGGATCAGTATGGCATTGCTTATGGACGGCCTTCCAGAAATATACTCATCAGAAACCTTGTAGTTCGATCAATGGTCAGGTCAGAACTCCCCATGTCAATACGATCTTAATTGTGCTGCGCACTTGTCATTTTTGATATCTGCCTCTTTCCAATGTGCATTTCAGTTTTGGAAAAGCTGTTAGCATGTTGAAGGATTGATAAAAGAATTTAGTCTTTTCTCTTTATGTTTTAAGTTGATGATTCTCGTCCTGCATTTTGACCAAGTTCAATCTCCTATTTCTTATTGCTGTTCAACTCAAATGAGACCTTGATTTTGTTTTTTCAATTGATTTCAAAGGCTGGTCTTTTAGCCAGACAAATCCCAGTACCCCTTTCAATCAAGTATTTAGTGACTTCCCCATAATGGAATTATTGCAGTGCTGGCATATCCATAGGCAGCGAGATGTCTGGTGGGGTGTCAAATGTCACTGTGGAGAACGTCCATGTTTGGGGCTCAAGGCGTGCCGTGCGGATCAAGACAGCCCCTGGAAGAGGAGGATATGTGCGACAGATAACTTACCGGAATTTGACATTTGAGAATGTCAGAGTGGGCATTGTGATCAAGACAGATTATAATGAACATCCGGACGATGGATTTGATCCGAAGGCCGTTCCGTCCTTGGAGGATATAAACTACTTCTCAATCCATGGCGAGGGAGTTCGGGTGCCTGTTCGCATGCATGGGAGCTCAGAAATTCCCGTAAGGAAAGTGACTTTCCGGGATATGTCGGTCGGGATTACTTACAAGAAGAAGCACATATTCCAGTGTGCTTTTGTTGAAGGCCGGGTCATAGGGACCATTTTTCCAGCACCCTGTGAGAACCTTGATCTATACGATGAACAAGGGCACTTAATCAGGCGTTCTACATCTCAAAACGTGTCAGATATAGATTATGATTTTTGATAAGATTTTGCCTTTTGTTTCTCTAGGGCCAATTTTCCAAATGATCAAGTTTCTGAGTGGGAGGGCAGCATGCTTGGATCAGTAAAAAGTGTGACCACAGGTTTTTCCCAAGACAGCACCTCTCTCATTCAGGCCTTTTCTTTTCTGCGCTTTCGTTTCTTGAGGACTCTTTTACGCCGTACGTACAGTGTATATATACTCTGCAAATACTGGAGCTGATGTATCCACAATTTGAAAGACATCCTCCTGGTCATGTGAAATAGGAAATGTAGGTTAGCTGTTACTGCAGTATCCGATTGCAATTGTCGATCTACAAATTGTTGAGCCATGTCAACGTGTAAAGATTCAAATGTTGTTCACAAAGCAAAACGAACAGGAGAGATGTCCATGACGGTTTCGATTCGACTATGTTGAACTTGCTTAAAACCTCAAACAATCATGTGATAAATTACAAGCCTGTGATAAATGAAGGTCCATACTAATCTTTTGTATTTGTTAGATCTCTTAGTATTAGGAAATCAAAATCTTACGATAATGCTCGAACGAAAACACAAGAAGTTGCTTTGCTCCAAAGGACCTTCTTCCACATTTCGCCATCGCACATCCGTATTTCCTTTGACACAATAATTCGTGGGTGGACAGCCCGAAGTCTCCGCGATATTTCCTTTGACACTACAGAATTTGCGCGACGAAAACGAGCGAAGGGGACCAAACTTGGAAGGATGAATGAATTAAGAGCTGAAAAACATGATGGTACCTTGAGCATATATTCCAATTTTTAGGGACCATCATCTCACAATGCACATTGCTTCAAAAATGTTCGCAATGCACCCTACCTTTTTTTCCTCTTTGGGGGTATGTGAGTGAACTTTAGAATATATTCATCAAAGCGCGGAAATTGTCAATCACCATTGCCGTGATACCTATGTCACATCAATAGTAATCAAGGATATGTATGTATTAGCGTAAGGCATCTTGAGTAATCTGTGGTTCACACTAAAAAGTTTTGTTGCTTGCAATTGGAAGCCATCTCACTATGTATAAACATATTTTATGAAGTAATCCATTTGATGATAATTTTGCACATGTACGGTGGATGGTTACTATATATAATTGTTGGACATATGTGATGACAATTAAGGATGGACCGATTGAATTAACCAGTTTTCAAGTTGAATTTGATTTTATTTTTACTGATCATATCAAAATTAGTGACCTCGCTTGACTCCTCTTCTTTTTTCTTTTTTTTTTGTCCCCAAAAATATAAGTTTAATTGAAATGTTAAAAGTTTACAATATGCGGACAAAGGTCCAATTGTCTGTACAAAATGTGCATTGAAGTAGAGAAGAAATGAATGAATCCATTCCTCATCACAACACTATACAGAAAGGAAACTATTGAAACAAAGCTGATGAGGCGGCAGGAATATCCTCCATTAAACCTGCCATCCTGATATCTCTAGTTTTCTTGATTTGCTGGTGCACTGAGTCTGAATTCTCTTCACATGGTTGGTTTTGTAAATTTTATTTAACAAATGATCGATATGTTTACATACTCCGCAACAATTTTCTGTTACGTTTGACTATACATTTCAATCTTCTTCAAAATTACTAATCCACTTATAGCATGGGTGGTTCAACAAGCAGCCAGGGTAGGTTCCACATATCCAAATTACCCCAAAAAAAAAAATTTTTTTAACATGCTTCTTATATTATAAGAGAAACGTTAAATATTCTGGATCATGGAGCATTTGACCTGCAATTTTGATAAACCATCAATTGTCGGCAAGCACAGCAAAACGTGTGGTGAATCCGAACATGTTCTTGTCAGTTCAGCAATAGATGATTAATTTTTGGCCATTTGATGAGAACCGGCTGGTATGATTGCTTTATTATTCTTGTTCTCATAATTATTGCAATGATAGAAACGGATGAATTGTAAATCAAGTTAACTTGTCACTAGGAGTAAGGCTTAGGGTGTTAATCCCGTCAAAATCCATTCCTCACTACTACAAAAATGACCTTTAGTCACACACTTAATATGACATTTTCTTAAAAGTGTCACAACAGAAAGTTAATATAACATGCAATAGGGAACGTCATTAAAGTGACAAAGAAAATGATGAGTACGACGTCGTATCACTCTAACTTGTCCAAATAGAAGTAAAAAGCGAAAAACAAAAACGGGAAAGAGAATGGCGCTACACTTCAACGCCATATTTTTTGAGGAAAAATTCTAACTATTCCAATGAATCCAATGAACTTTACTCTTTGTTCATCCTATTTCTCTCTCCTAAAACCTTCAATCACGTTAACTTTCTCTGTAAAAAGCCAAAATCCTTCACCCCTCTCACAACCGAATCCCTTGTTTCTTTCTCTTTCTTCCACCCGATTTTTTAATTCTCCCCAATTTGAAGACAAACATGTGAAGGACTTATTCTCCTACTTACAACAACATCTGAAGGAAGATTACTACCAGGTAACCTATACATTTTAGACAAAATTGATAGCCTTTTTTTTTATTACTTTATTTCTTCTCCGGGGACTGCGTGGGAAATGGGGCAGGAGAAAGGTGGGTGACAGAGGGGGTGCCGAGGCAGTGCTAGAAGGACATGGACATGGTTGAAGTGCCCATGTTTTTGTTCATAAGAGATGGAGAAATTTGTGGCAGATAAGTGGGATCTGGAAAGGAAGAACTAATCGGTGAAATTCGTAGATACCAAGGAGTTCGAGTGACTTAGGTCAAAAGAACAAACTGGAAGATTCACCAGTAAATTACACAATTCAATTGGCTGTGTGAAACTTTGTAATATAAAAGCAAAAGGGATATAGCTTATTTATTTATTTATTTTTCTGTTTGTATAACTGCGGCCCTTACTCTAGTTACTTGTTTCATGTGTTAATCCAGCTTTAATTTTATCACGCCACAATTCTGTTTTAAGACCGAAAATCATATTTGTATTTCTCCTTTTGGTTCTCCATCAGAACTGGAATCGACAGCTTTCATTTGGAGTCGATATGCCATAAAACTGAAGCTTTATTTACTCAATTGCAATTTTGATAGGAAATCCTACGCAGGATTAATAGCAAGCAACTAATGACTAAAATCGAAAATCCCTTAAATATTCCATTTGCTAAGATAAGGAAAAAAGGGGGCTAAGGTTATTTGCTAGGTATTCCATTTGCAAGCTTCTTGAGAATTTTTTGGTTGACATGTATATTAAATATGTGCTGATTCTACAACGCTTTCTCATTTGGTAATTTGCTAAATGCTAATAAAGACTATAAGTGTGGCTAGTGGATTTGCCTAGAAACATAGTAGTTATTTGGTTTTTAGCGATTGTCGATACTAATATTGATATCTTTGTTTTAGATTGAAGAATTATTGTTGAGGTGTCAACCTAGTTTTTGATTTGTTAACATTTGCATTATTGGTATTGAACTTGATATAGAATGCTCTGCCCGTAGGATTTTAATGCAAAGTGCATCTTACATACATAGCATATATCAAGTGGTGACTAAGTCAAGCTTATTCCATCAATGCAGTTTTAAGTTTGTAGCGGCCGTCATCTTCGATTCCATCTAGCGAGCATTGATCGTTGATTCCCTTTCCACTTGGAGTAAATTGGAGTTGTTGGTAACCAAAATTATACATTAAGTTTCTGCTACTCTTAGGTTACCAATACATTAAAGTTTGTGGTAGTTATTTTCAATTGGATAGAACTTCTATTGCTGATTAGTTGGGTTGCTAATATTTTGTCCAAGTTCTCTATCTCAAATTGATATTGGCGACATTATTGGACTAATTTGGAATTCCGTAGACTGTTATTCTTTTGTGCCTATCATCTGTTCGATAGTTTGTGTCTTACAATTTGGAATTGAACTTTTGCTGTCTTTCTTTTTGATATCATTCTGTTTTGATACTTTTGGATTAGTTCTTATTACTCAAAAGTCTAGAACACCTGGATATGTGAATATTCTGTTTTGATATGTCTAGAACACTTGGATTAGTTCTTACATTCTGTTTTGATACTTGGATTAGTTTTCTTATCTAAGTAAATGTTTGATGCAAAAATCAGTAATATTTTAGGTAGAATTATCTTGTAGATGCTAATGGAGCTTTTTTTTTATAATTAAAATCTATGTGAACATGGATAAAAGATGGATGAGTATGTCACGATCAAGTGATGAGTATAAAGCTGGTTTGGAAGATTTTCTTGATTTTGCATTTACGAATGGAAGCATAGGGGAGATGATTTGATACCCATGCATTAGGTGTGGGAATGGGGTATTTGTCACGAGAGAGCAGGCCAAATCACACTTGATATGGAAAAGGTTTATTAAGGGATATACTCAATGGTTAGCTCATGGAGAGCTATCTTCGAATTTGCATCATACATCTTCACATGGCTTGCCTCTAGCTTGTACCATGCTTCGAGAGGAAATCTAAGGAAATATCTGAGATGGGCTGACTACACAATGATAGCCACAACAACAATGGTATGCCATGAATGAATAGTTGTCTTTGGATGTACGCATTATATTTGCTAGAGTTCCGTAAGTTGAATCAAGTAGAATAAATTGTTGTTCAGCCTTCAGTATCAATACTTCCATCTAAGAAAATTTTCTTGGCATAGAAACATAGTGGACAAGTACATGCAAATTGTGGCAGATTGGTTTTCTAATCCATCAAAAAGTAATAAGTGGATGTTTTGAAACCTTTGGAGTGTCCTCGGATATTTTCTATGTGCCATTGCCTTTGTCAGGGGCATCAAAAATTCTGACAGACTAATTTTTTGACATCACAGCATCCCTCAGTTATTCCCCCCCTTAAGTTACATGCCTTTAAATTTTTCTGTCTTTTTTTCTTTAATTTTAAGAATTACTGGCTTGCAACAGCATCAACATGACCATTTCTTCTACTTATTGTAATTTATCCTTTTGATTGAGTGTATCTGCTCAGCCTGTCTGTGTCTCCAGTTTAAAAAAGTTAACTTTCTAAATATGCATATCTGGATGTTTGTGAATTTAGAACATGTATGCTCTAATTTATCCTAGATTTTCATCTCTTATTTTTGTACTATAATACCTTGCTGAATGTCTTAACATATAATGACAAGCTTGTATCTTGCAATGATGACTTGACTGAGTAGGGGTGATAACCGAAATTATCAGATTACATAATATGTAACAATGACTTTCTTGTGTGTCTATTTGAAAAAGAAGCTTTTGACTCAGGTATTCTACACTCGTCTAGCAGCTAAATAGGGTGAGCAACTTGCTTCACAAAGGGAAAGAGAAAGATATTAAAAACTGAAAAAAAAATCTAATCATCGATTTCATGGACCTTTGCCATTTTGCTGATAAGTTACTCAAAGGAAAAGAGAACTCTTGTGCTTAGATATGTCCTCTCATACAGCATACTGGTTTAATGCTGCTCACCATCCATTGTTTGATTTGTTGCTTTTCACTTTATGTCTAGCATGAGGAACAAAGGAAATGGAAAGATTAGGATATTCTTGTTGTATAAACAGTAGCGTTCAATTGCAGTTTGTATTTTTTCTGCTACAAGTTCAGTTAGGTTGATTCAAAACCTGTAAGATTTTCTCAATAGTATTTATCCCAAGCATTTTCTGGATACTAGCTAACCAGTAAACCTTCATTGAATAACCTAGATCTGGATTACATTTTACTCTTTTGGTTTTCTAATGGACGTTTATTACTGATTCCTTTGTAGTGTTTGTCAAGCGCACTGCACATGGCAGCCTCTGCTGTATTTCTTCCAATCCAGCCTCTGATGGTTTCTGCAATGCATACTGGGATGATGGAGGTAATAGGCGTATATGCATATTTATGAGTTGATTCATAAGCCAGTATGCAGTCTGTTCTAAGTCTTGTCTTTTGACTCTCTTAAGTGTAACTGAGGCCTGGGAGGCCTCAAGAACGAGCTAAAAGAGTTCAGACCCAATCCTCTCCTTTGTGGCATGCATTCCGTGTTCCAAGTCTTATTACTTGACAAGCATAATATACATATGTAGCTTACTATTGCCAGTTAGGTATTCAAAATTGAAGTAGTTGTAGTTCCTTGGAGTAGGGAATCCAACTGAATTCTGGTTAACATAATTATAGAGCTGGAATTAGTGGAAGCTGAAACACAGTTTACTACATAGCTTGTAGTGCTTTAATTTTCTTGGTTGTTTATGCTCATGTCCTCATCTAGCATGAGACACATTGAAGATTTGTTGCTCTTCTGGTGATAGGAGGAGAGAGGAGGCAAAGGGAATGTTGCTCGTGCCTTGGCTTGACCTAAAGTGTCTCTCACTTGTTTGAAATCTAATATTGTCCAAAGTAGGTTATTTTAGCATTTGGTCATATTGTAATTGATTAATAGACAATATATCCATGTGCTACTGATTATTGATTCATGAATTTGTCTTTACATCATCAATGACCTCCACATCCTTTTTAGAACCCAAAATGATGAAGCCAAGTTAGCTGCCCAAGTGATCTGTCAAATGTGTTTCCTAGTCTTACCATCATAATACCTGAGAAGTATAAAATATTGTCCACAATTGACCTTCCTTGGGCCTTCTCAGTTGCTACACACACTGTCCTGGATCCATTGAGATTCCATAGCTTGCAACATGTGAGTTTAAACCTAGTAATCTTTTTATCTTATCTTTATCATTTGTTTAACTTAGTTTTTATTTATTTTCTAACATTAAAACTGTAAAAGAAGAGTTGTAGATGTGATTTGTAACTCCTATTTCTTGGTTTATGACACTTGTAGGTGAATCTTGAAGAAAACTAAAGGATCCTTGGATCAAATGGCTATTTTTTGAAGACATTGTCAAGGTTTTTTTGTTGAACTCTTGTTGAACTATTGCTTCTTTGATATGTATTGGCAATCCTACTGCAATACTCATAACTGTTGAAAAATCTCTAAATTAGCATGTAATTTGTTGACATAACAGCTATGTAAGTTGCTTGGATGATGTACTTTTGCACCAGTTTGGCTGATTGTATTGCACTAACTACTATGAAAACGTAAATCACTTTGGTTTTATTTTATAAGGTGGTACTAATAACTTTATTATTCCAAAAATTAGAATCTACATCGTGCAGGCAGGATGAAATGTAATTTCAACTTTTGGGTATAAAAATCCGGATGGTATACAGGGCTAATGCAATATGATGTATTGACACTTAAAAGTGTCATCACTTCGATTTTTGCGGTTCATAATATTCACAAAATTTCATGTTAACAACTGTCAAAACAACCTAATCTAGTTACACCATAAAAGTGTCATAATATTTCATTCTACTTATACTGCAAATATGTCATAATATCTTATTGTACTTACATAATAGAAGTGTCAAGATAGATCCAATATATGACAGTTAAGAGTATCACTTTAGATTCATATAACCTTAACTCTTCTCTAGTATTTCTTGTCATTTGAAAGTGTCATTAAAACGATAAATAATGACGTTTACAAATGCCAACATAACTATAAATTATGACTCGTGTAACTGTCAAAAACTTATAGTGACGCTGAAATGGACGACGTTTCTAGCAGAGCGTCATTATAGATCAAACGTCATTACATCGAGCTATAATGACGCTTTTAAATGTGATAAAAGGACATTTTTGTAGTAGTGCCTCTTCATATTAAAGTATAAAATACGTAATTTATTTTCGAGGGAACATCATCTTTTAAACAATTATATGGCAAATTCACTACGGCAATCAAATACATTACATAAAACTAAGTTGTGGTTTAGTCCATTGTTATTAAACTCGGATCGGATAGTGACTCGACTAAACTATTGGGTCAATGATCAATTGGTCAAATCAGTTAGACCGTTCTTAAAAACTCGCTGACGTCAACATGATGTCATAATTATTTTATATTTTTATAAATTTAAAAAATATTGAAATTAATTTCTTGATTATATTCGGCCAATCATAGAAAATGTTTCAAAAATATTAGACTTTCAATCAAACATAACCTAATAATTATATATATATATATATATATATGTATATTCATGGTCAAATTATGTCCACTCTCCAAAACTACTTGAAAAACTAAATTAAAACAAATTATGCAAGTTAAAATCACTGATGCTAAATTGATAAGATCATAGCTAGAGATGAAAACATTTTGATTTAGAGATCATTTAAAAAAACGAATGATTTTAGTATTTACACTAAATGGGTGGCGTTTTCTTATTTCTATTAATAAATGAAAGTATTACAATTTAAATAACTCAAATTATGAATGAGAAAAAGAAGAAAGAAACGTTTGAGAACCGAGTCACTGGTTTAGTCAGTTTTTTTAGGATTTTGACTAGTTTTTTTTATTAAAATAGTTTTGTGCTACAAACCAATTCGGAAAGAATGCCGGTTCATGATGGGAATAGTTGTACCGTCCGGTCCGGTCCGGTCCGGATCTAACAACACTAGTTTAGTCCAATTTGGATCGCAAAATTGTTCCATCTCCAATTCTTCTGTGATTAGCTTAGAATTTTTTTAAGATAATAAACTCTACACAGCGTGGATATTTATATCATTTCTTGTGAAAGAGAACATGTGTATCTAGTACCCTTATAGCTTCATTCTTCACTCCTTGCTCTCAACTGCTTTATTGGACTTGCTTTTTAACGTCTAATTTTGAATACTCTGTCATGCAATTTTTTTTATTATTATTATTTGATTTAATTCATTTTTTGCCTCGTCAAAAGCTAAAACAAGCCAAACTCAAAAACTACAAGAAACGGGTTTCTTGTATCTTGAGGGTTTATCTAATCAACATTTAAGATAACTCGAAGCAGCTGTATGCGGGGCATGGCTTCAAGCATTAAATTTTGGATTTTTGTCAACTCTTTCAAAGACAGCGATAAACTGCATAACCTCCCCACAACTATCAATCCCCAATACTTTGCTTTTGTATTTTACTTCTCTTACTCAAATGTTAGTCCACGACTAAAAAGAGCACAAAACGCAAATTAAAGAGTGGAGCTGGAAGACGAAAAACAATGCATTGATTCTATCGGAGGAAAGAGAGTTGTCAAGAGGAAATGAAGGAAATTTTTTAAACATTGTGATGAAGAAATGAAATCTTTAAAACGTTGTGAAAACCTTCAGATGAACGAAATGCATTTAATTTTAAGAAAAACGTGATGGGTTTAAACTTGCGTCTTATTGTGCACTTTCTTTCTGGACATCTCAGAGGCCCCATCAAACATTAATCGAGTCGTTCTTGAGAGGGACACGAATTAGTTGCTTTCTATACATGCATTTGTGAAGTGCCTGGACTCGGGATGGGACGCTTGTCGTCGCTTGAACATATCGGAGTATGGACTATGGATATGATCAATTGACATTCAGAGAATGGCTTAGCTGTTTACCTAACGTTAATTCCAAAACAGTAGTAATTTTTGAATTGGACCTAAAAAACTCTTAACATATATATAAATACAATAGCAATCTAAGTAAGACCTAAATTTTTTTCTAAAGCACTACACAATCCCTGCACAAGACAGGGAACAACGACAAAACATCTGCCAGATAGAGTGAGCTGAGCTGAATTTGTGGCTTGTGAAATTTGGTAGCCTTTGAAGCAAATTGATGGCAGACAAGTGACAGCCCTTTCTGTGGATAACGCCACAGATGGAATCCACACAAGATGGTTCATCATCATATAGCAGTTGATATCTGAAAGCGATTAATCGGCCCATGTTTTCCGAATTTTCACAAGACAAATTAGGAATTTCGACATGTCTAAATCACATAACTAAATTACAAAGAGGTTCCAGACAATACATTAGGTGATCGTATTAAAATCAAACTGCCACCTCTGCTTAGTTTTCTCGCAGAGCACGTTTGTGGGCAGCTTCCAGGCTATTTCCAAGGCAGCACAGCACCTCCTCATGCCCTTCTCTCTTCTGAACTTCGTTTCTTGAGGACTCTTTACATCGTACAGCGTACATATACTGCAAATGCTGGAGCTGACGCATTCACAGTTTGAAAGACACTCCACTCCGGTCATGTGAAATGGTAAATGTAGGTTAGTTGTTACTGCGGTGTCGATTGTAATTCTCAATCTACAAAAGTTGAGCCCTGTCGACGGTTAAAGATTCAAATGTGGTTCATTGAGCAAACAAACCGACAGCAGGGATGCCCCTGAAGTTCATCTGCAGCCGGTTGAGTTGAGTGGGACATCATTTCTTGGTTGGTTGACCAAGACTTGTTCCAAGTCTTTGCCCATTCCTTGAAAATAAGCCTGTGCAATGCATATAAAAGTTATAGACCAGTAAAAATAATGCAAGATCCACAAATTTTGAGCTGCCTAAGTTTAATACCAAAATATATAATGACTTCGAGCTCATCTGCATTGAAACTTGCTCAAGATCAATCACATGGCATTCTACAAGGTTGAAATCAAATGTCATTAGTAACCGGACTAAACAAAATCCCTGTAAATTGCTTTAATACAAAGGCACTATATCACTCTGAAACGTTACTTCATCCATATTGCTAATACTTCAATAGTTGCAGCTTCGACCACAGGACTGGTGGTTCTTGAGCTCTATTTTGCTATTGGTGATCAAAGATTTGTAATGTCCTCCAACATATAAAACTTTATAAAGATTCAAGTATGAAGTATGATAAAGAAGCATGCAGGACAAGAAATGTTCCGCGCATTAGGTGAATCTTAACGCAGTTGAACTAATGATGCCAGTGCAGTTTTATTGGGTACCACTACCACATATGCATGCGCCTTTTCTTAGTCTTTATTTGACTTCACCAACATAGGCACTAGGAAAACAAACATGTGATATTTCTTTTAAGCAAAACTACGTTAGCGCTCATCATTTCAACTGCACTAAATTTTTCCTAATCCACCAGACAATTTCCAGACACGGGACAATAGCAGAACATTTCCTTGATAAAGTGAACTGATCTGAATTTGTGGCATGTGAAATTTGCGAGCCTTTGGAGCAACAGGATCATGAATTAGGGCAAAAATGATTATCAGTTACAATCTTCAGAAGTATTGTGGTTATGATTGACGGAAAAATATACATATACATGGAGCTCAAAACATATAAGGCTCAGATTAGGTAGTGTATATTTATGCATGGAGCTCAAAACAAAATTGTCATTAGTTAAATACAATTTGTTCAAATGAACAAAATTGTTCCAAAATGATTCTACTGAAAACTGTTTGCAACCTTTAACCCACGGGCCAAAGCACCATAAGGATTGATGGCTGAAAACCTTTTACGTGGATAAATGCCACAGACTGGATTACGCACAATATTGTTCATCCATGTTTTCCTCATTTTCACAATAAAAATCAGGAATGTCGACATGTCTTCCAAATCAGATATTTTCACAATACAAATATCTAGATTGCAGAATGGTAGCTGTCAATCGTAAGGTGATCATATTGAACAAAACTACCCTGTCTCCATAATTTTTTTCAGCGGAGCACGTTAATAGGCAACTTCCGGGCTATTTCTTCGACCATGAGGTAGGACTAATTCATGTTTCCCCTCCCAAAAAAAAAAAGTAGCGTTTAGTAGAGAACCTTTAAACAATTAAATTGATGAGAATACCATGCAGATATTTGGAGTCTTTTCAAACTTTTGACTAAAATGATCAATAGCGCCTTCAAACAATGTGGCTAATTAAGATAGTTTAGTTAGTGGAACAAATCCTCCATCGTATAACGACATTTGCTTGACACAATATATGTTGGTGGACCGCCCGAAGTTTCGATGACATTTCCATGCATTGTTAAGCGCCAAAAACGAGTAAAGGATAAAGAGGCATCCATATCCATATTTTATCTGTAAACTTGGAAGATTATGGACGACTCCGAAGCATTTGTTGGCAATACATACCTAAGCATGAAAAGGTAAGATTCTATGTCCAATGTCAATAACTATGTTATAAAGTATTGCTACATATTTCTCGACTGAAAGAAATAATCACAGATAGCATTTTAGCCAAAAAAAAAAATATATTTTTTTTGGCATCTCATCTTTGAAAATGATAT